AGAAAAAAAACAAAGACCAGAAATATGGAGACCTAACACATCCCGCAGTAAAAGGCACACTAACTAAAGACAATACACTACACAAAAACCTCTGAACACATACTTCAACTAATAGAGTATGCGTTTTCAGGTATTGCTTAACTGTGTTTGAGATACACAAGACTTAGTATTTAAAATTTCCTTTTAATCCCTTTATAATTAGTTAATATAGATTTTTGAGTTGTGGCTCTAAAAGCATAATTATTATATTCTTGTAAGCATAATATTTTTCCTTACTTTACGGATTTTAATCAGTATAACATTTTACATGTCACATATTTTCGATTCTTTTTTCAGAACTTGATATAAAATATGCTAACGAGAGTTAAATTCAAGCAAAATTATTCATTATTTTTACTTTTCTTTTTTTTAGCATTAATAATTTAAGAAATAAAGTAATATAAAAGTATACTCATCTCCGAAAAGAGGAACAGAAAGAACTTAAGCCTCTTCATCCCAGTTTAATGGGAGGATTAAACTCATTAATATTTTATTCGGAATAAAATATAATGTATTATTATAATATTTGAGTTTTTATAATAACACTCTCGTCTCTGATTTCTATATATTCTATCCAGGAAAAAAATCCTGGCACGATTTAATGAAGCAAAAAATCTATATCTAAATAAAAAAAAAAAAATTGATTTAAGGTGTAGAAAAAAATTGAATTATTCTTCATGTATTCAAATAGCAGGCGCTTCTGTCTGATCGATATTTGCCTAGATTACCGAGTTCAAAACAAAAAATCTAGAAGTTATCATATTGAAAGTCCTTATTCAGGTGAGCAAAAATGAAAAAATTCCAAAAGAAGTATACGATTAGCGGTATATAGGTATAAATACTTGTGGTTATAATAATAGTTTACAAATTCCCTACCAAAAGTAAAAAAATATAACCAATTTTAGAAAGGATATAACCAATTGTCATTTGTATCATATTTTGGTCTATTATATAATTTTTTTTTTCATTTCTTTATTGAGTAATATTACATTTAAGGACAATAGTAATATTGATCGAGTAGCTCATTCACACTATATACAACAAATACAAATAAATCAAACAGCTAAATAACAATAATAAAAGTAAATTTATGTAAACAACAAGAAACTAAAATTATTTTTAATGAAAATTAATTTATGCCTCCCATAATACATATTTTTGAAGTGAAAACCTTTTTAGCCACGTTTTGCATTTTTTTTTTTGTGGAGAGTTAATTGGATTTAGCTGTCAGATTCCGATGTGTAACGCTCGGGTAAAGTTGGATGGCATCGATTAATTAAAGCGTTTTTGCATATGGATTAAAATATCTCAGAAACTTAAAATCGGACCTACATAGTATAAGCAAGGGAAATGTTCAGCATTTCATCCTCTTTGTAATGTGCTATTATTTAAAATCATATCTAAACGCGCCAAAAGCTATTTTTTTTCTTTTTAATTGAACTATTCAATAAAGAGTGAAAAATGTATATCGCGCTAAGTGAAAATATTCTCGGAAACACAGCCAACAACACAAGGTATCAATAAAACAGTTTATTTAGTTTTTGGAGTTATAAAAAAAAAAGAATTAGACAGATTCAAATAGATGACGCGAGTTTTCCCTTACTCGTCCCACTGTAATAAATGATAAATAGTTTTATTGAGGATAAAATGTCTTAGAAACTAAAAAAATAATTTTTAAGCCTGCATAGTGAAAGCGAGGAAAATGTTTAGCATTCTATCCTCTTTGTAATGAACTATTGTTTGTAATTTATATTTCATAATATTAACCTCGCCTTGTTGATGTTTTCACTCTTAGTTTTTTTAGCACAAACCTTAGTTTTTGTCGTAAATTTACAACAACTAGTCGATAACAAGAACTTTGATTTAAAAAAAATATACTCAAGATAAATACAGAAATAAAAATCAATAATTAGTTTAGAACACAAAATAAAGAAGATAAATATATATCGTTTACGCTATATAATCTTGAAATATTCACATACTCTTTATATATTTATATATTAATTGAAAAATTGGTACAATGCTTTTAATTTTCGATTTTCGTGCAAAGACACTAGAAAATATATGATTTACCTGTGTACGGAATACAAGATGAACTTAAATACTTACTCGTATTTGCTATAAAATTATAAAATAAAAACATTTTTAAAGACTTTTCACTAAGATAGCTTAGGTGATGGAGTGAGTGAAGGCTCCGGGACTCGGGACGGGACAGAAGCCAGGTTTATTGCCAAGACAGCAAGTAGCAAAGCCCCCGCAACGACCTAATACCTCAACAGAGCGGCTATAAAACCCAACGCCCAACTTCCTTCGGCTTAATCTACAATTTACAGTTTTACGCTTTATTTATATCCCCTTTTATGTAGTTTTTGTCCTTAACTTATCTTAAATGAAAAAAAAAACTAGTAAAAAAAAGTGTACTAATTTGTTGAGGATCGAAGCGAATAATATGGAACCATCGCTGACAGGACGATGAGACAGTCCCTGAGAGAGGAGTCCTTTGATGAATGGAGCAAGTGCAAGTGGCAAGGTATTGGGGTGTCCCATTTCAAATCTAATCCATGGACCAATAAATATATTTATGACAGTAAAGTTCTCACCGTCTCAGGATGGACGAACGCCATGAAATTAAGCGTTAATCACGCTCCTCTCCGCGGAGAACCAGGGGCTGGAAGGCAAGTAAACGGAGATATAAGACCCCTCTGCCAGAGTCAGAAACCCCAGTTCACGTGTTGAGTAATTGTCTGCATAACATGCTCCTAGTCACGTGTCGATACAATTATATAAAGCATCGTATATTCGAGTTACTGGAAATGACGAACTATAAATGCTTCCTGGAAGTTTATTGTCTGGGAACAGAAGGCTCAACAATGTTCATTGAGATTTTGCCGTTAAATGTGACAGAAAAGGCACTCATAGTGCCTCACCACGATCAGATTTGAAACCAAAGATCAGGAACAGACAGCCTTTTTGAATACCTTCAAGGCACAGACAGAGAAAAAGGAAATTTATACGAAATGCATACCTAACCCGAAGAAAAAGTACAGAAATCAATTCGGCGAGAGTTCTCGGTTAAAGGACTGTGGTTCGAAAGTAGAGAACGCATCCCTTTTACTATAAGTCTTATCTTGTAGAGTTTCGATGTTGAAAGGGAGCAGATGAAGAGTATGGTAGAAACTATAATTTTAGACTCGTTGCTAATACTCCATCGCCACTTACATCTAACCCTTTGCTTTTTTGATTCTGTGAACTGTTCTTGTCTTGTCTGATATGTATTCCAATGGTCCGAACTAACTCTCTCTTATATTTTTTTTTACAGTATTTCCAATTGGTTAATGAGTATGCTGTGTTATTTAGCAACACATCACAGTTGAGCAGCCGAGGAATGTTGTTGTATTGTGTACCAAACATTAATAGCCTGCAGTGATAGAACCGAAGGCTCTAACTCCAATATTGACTATAAACTATCATTGAATAGCTAGGCCAATATTCCCTCTTTGCAAATGCCATAATCTTCCACATTCTGCTATAACTATGATGAATTTACTCTTTTTAGTAGGTTATTCATCATTGTTTTTTTATGTTAAGGCACGAAAAACATGTAGATCATCGTCGCACGATAAAAAAAAAACAGTTTATAGAATAACTAATATAAAAAGAAGAAATATCTATCCGACATACGGATACAAATAAGGGAGGTACATAATAATAAACAAACAAAATAAAAAATACATATTGATTTAAAAATAATAAAATTAAGAACTTTACATTACTTTCTCTTAGAAATAAAATTTATCCAATTGATCCCGATAATGCCCGAATTTCTCAAAAAGACAAAGAGAATCAATATCTTGAAATGATATAGGCTCCAAATATCAACAAAAAAACAAGAATGTTAAAACTGATACTGCCACTATTATACTCAATTCTCTCAAGAAGTTTTAAATTAAATTTAAAAAAAGAATATAAACGCGTACAAATATTTACTTAAACCCATTTGGACATACGTCTAACAGATATACGGGACAGGCAAAGCGACCCACATACGGTAACTACATATGCTAATTTGACCACATATGTAGAGACTACAAAAGATTTCATAATAACATACATGGATATTACAACATCATACAAGATACGGCGACAATCAAAATACCCAATAACAGACTTAGATGGCTCAAAAGAAGCTGTATGAGGGATCTTATCGCTTAAAAATCTGAAAAACTCAACAAAAGATGAAGTTATCAAAATGAAATTCATGAATATTAATTATTAAAAACTTCTCAGCTAAATAGTATTAAACTAATAAATTGAAGCCTTCAAGGTAAAAAATAATCCAAACAATAAAACACCATTTTCTGTAAATATTACTGGTATTTGTTTTCACTATGACTTTGCATGTAGAAGTGGGATATTGACCAATCGGTTTTCATATTTAAACAGATTAAATATATTTTTTAAAAATCCTTAAAAGTATTCAGAAATAAATATACTATCGATGATATGTCTACAAACATATACATGCTGCTTTCAAAGGGATGAATGTATTGATAGATACGTCGTTACATATGTATGAAAATTCTACAGCATATTTTAACAAGAACAAGAGAACTTCTGCTGATAAAGAATTTATCTGAAGACTTTATTTTGAGGGTTCTCCTTGGAAAAGTAAGGGCAAGATTATTCTGGAATTCCTTCTTATTGATTTGGATTGGGCGAGTTCCCCACCGTCCTTTAAATCGGCAAGTTTTTCCACTTCATCTTCCGAGAGTACTTCAAGTTCAACCTAATTCTTATCTGGGTCAGGCAACCGGCGGGTTTTTAAAGAAAAGAAAATCTTTATAAAGTTTGTAACTTATAACTGTAATCCTTTAAAACAGTTATTCCTGTTAGGAGAAAACATATTGAGAGTTTTTCGGTTAGAGATATTGAGTCAGCTATTTCACTTGATTCACATGTTTTTATTCTAGTGTATCCATATAACTAGTGTTGGATCTCTGGCGTGATGTGTTTTCGTCCGCTGAACGATCCAACCGTCTTAATTCTATTGCTATTCCTTCTCTCTGACAGTTATTAAACATAATTGATATGTTGAGCCCTTCAGATGATTATAAGTAAATTAAATATTTTTATCATGCTCAATTCTGCTTTTTAGAGTGTGTATTGGTGCTGGCAATACAATAATAATTTATTTAGAGGCGCAGATAGTCAGCGGTCCCAATGCCCATTCGTCGCAATGAACCAATTGCCCTTCAGATTAAAAGAACACATATAATATATACGCCCACACAGTAAAATATAACGCATAAGGTCATATACAGTACACACCCAAGGACCACCTTCCCTAGGAAGTTGGCCCGAAAGGGAAGTAGGTCAAACTACTTCAACTTCGCCTAAATCCTAGTGGTAGACGTGTACCTGTAGAAACTAGGTAACTTCAATTAAAATATTAATTAATTCAAAATGTTTTGAAAGCCGTCAATTCGAGCGTAAATGGCAGAAAATTCGGACGAATATGAACATTTAAATGTTCTTATACAACTCAAAAACATAATTTCTGATATTTAACATACTTCATAACATGGTGGCCGCTTAGTCCGCCAAAAAAGAGTACTTTTATGAAACCAAATGAAAAATGACAGCTTTCATCCAATTTGATTGGAGATACCATAAAACAACAACGTAACAGTAAATTAAATCAACCCGTTAACTCATTCACTTACTCGTTGCTAAGCGATACTTAAATGAATTTCTGTGGCAATATCTTAAAGAAGAAGAAGCATCGAATTGGATACCTTCATATTTCCTAAAAATATTACTTTTTGATGAAATGTACAAGTGGAGTTTGGCTATACATACCGCCCCAAATCTCTTGCATGCACTTACTGACTGAGAAACCAAGTAAAAACATAAAATTAATTAAACTTAGAAACTTAATTTTCTGAACTTTTTCATAGATACAGTTTTTAGTGTTGAAAACCATATTAAACTATTTCTTCAAGTAAAGACATAATAGACCCTCATGTCCTTACTGACACTGAATCCGATCATTCGCGTAAGTGCTGTGATGACTAGCATCTTTAGGTTGCGTAACCACCTTCAGGTTATCTGTGGTTCCGCAAGCAATTGATATATCTTGAAACGGTAACAGAGAAGGAAACACACACACACACACACATACACAAATATAAAAATAGTCAGTACCTGTGGCTGGTAATCCTTCGGCTTGATGGCCACAGCCTGGGAATATACTTGCACAGCCTTGGCGTGGTCTCCCCTATCGGCGTAAATCCTGCCGAGGTGGACCAGAGAGGATACCCTCGTCGACTCGTGTGTCCTCGGGTCCTTCACCGCCGACCCGTCCAGCTGGGAGCACCGGATTAGGACTTCTTCCGCCTCCTGGATCCGACCTCGAGAGGCCAACAAGGTGCCCAGGTTCAAGTGCGCCACTGAAACAGAAAGAATATACAAATTAAGGTTGAGGCGCCAAACTCTTAATTTTAGAAATGTATATATAATACCCACAACTATGTTTATGAATTACTGATTAAAAACTAAAACAGCCAACGTCAAAAGTTCTAAATATTGCCAACGGGTGTCTTAAAATTAAATAATGTTTAAAATTATTCATAAAAATATAATTTATTCCATAAATAAAAGTATCAAAAAGTTCAATACTTTTTCAATTACAATTTCTTTTATAACAAATCGTATTTTTTTTTTGTTATTTTAAATTTGCCACAGCGTTGGAAAGCATCAAGCAAATTTGTTGGCGTTAATTATATCTTCTTGAATTCCTGATATTTTCTTAACTTTTCAGCAGATCTCTAGTCCACTGCCTTTTTAGTCGTCTTTGAGGCTCACCAGGTAACAGGGAGGAAGATAGAGATAGAACGAGTGGATTTGGATGATTGAGAGTAGAAGAGTAAAATGTTGTGTACATGTTGTGTATGTAGGATTTTACTTTTGGTATGTTCATGTCTGTGTGTATGGTTAGATTTGAAATAAACCAAGGAGCCTTGACGATTTTATCATATTTAATGTAATAAATCGACATTACCTTCATAATTTTTCAATATGAGTATATTTAAAAAAAAGATAATCTAAGTTTAAAAAAAATATTCCTTTATTCAGACAAATCACGATTATTTTGAGAAACCGTTACTATCAGTTATTGAGATACCGTTCCCTGACTTAGGCTTCATAAAATTAAGCAACGGAACAGTAACAAAAATGTCGATCAACCTGAGACAAAAAAAATTCTTCATAAGGAACTTCTCCTAAAGTGAGATAAGAACCCGAGAACGCTAATTAACTAATCAGAATGTTGAATAAGTCAAAGAATATTTCAGCCTGAACAATATCTAGTCCTTTCGCATAATGGTATAAGTTGTACGCTCTTCACGAACTACCGGTATAATATGAACTTTTTTTTTACTGAGCTGATGGACCGTTTATTATGCAACATTTCAGGGTATATATTATCCAATTTTTGTCTTGAAGTATACTTGAATTGATATAATGTAGTATTCCAATAATTGTTCTATATTAGAAGGTCTCAAAGCCAGTTTCAAATTGAGGAGGATCGTCATAAATGGAAGAGGAAGGAACTTTAGAAATTAGTAGGTTTGGATGGGCTTATAGTTTTTCATATGAGCAGAGGTAGCTGGATTGGGCTAAATCACAATGAACGGAACACTAACATTTTTATGGATACTTATTTTTTTTGACAAAGTAAGAAGTACCGAGAATTTGAAGAAGGACTTTGTAAGGATTGAAAAGGGAGAGTGAGAGGGATTTGATTGGGTGGAGCCACGAAACTCATTTCCATAACGCCGAAGGGCAGAGGTGCTTTGATAGCACTTATTAGAATTTGTCGTTAAAAAACCAAACACGTATATTTTAACGTTATTGCAACGGTACAAATAATAATAAACTATTTAAATAAATATGTTACATTTCATCAATGATAGATTGGTCCACTTTACTTCATGCAATATGTGCTTCAACAGAACATTTGCCCTTAATTCCTCGACAAATACCCCGAAATATTCAATTATCAAGTCCATTTGGCCGGACCACTTTGGTAGAGAAACTGTGAAGCTGTTAGCGAGATGGGACGAGCGCCAAGAGCTATTAATAGGAAGGACTAGGGCAGATGTCGCTCGGGGGCCGGGCCATTCCCGAAATTGACGAGGAGATATATGCCGCTCCTTCCCATCTTTCTAATATACTCAGCTCCCGGGGCGGCTAAAATATTATATCTGTCAAAATGGCGGAGAGGGGGGGGTGGGGAGGAGGAAGACCAAGATTAATCAGCCGGCCAACTTATAGCAGGAACAGAGCACAGGAATTAAAAATGGAGGAGGAAGTAAGAAAGATGACTTTCCCTGGCATATACTCAGGGCTATTAATTTTCTTATAACAAGTTAAAAAATCTATCACCTATATAAATAAGGGTGTGTGTTTATAATTTCATAACATGAAATTTGTTTAAACAAAAAAAAAATGTAACAACTTACAAAATAAAATGTGTCATCGTAAATGATCCGAGAGGTTGAAGCTAACAGATCATTACATTATTATAACTACTTAATAATCTATACATGTATTCCGTATTCTGGTATTACAATACAACCTTTATATGAGTTAGGGTGGCTCTTCCCCTCCTTAAGAAGACAATATTTCCTAGGCACTTTCCTTTATCAAATCATTACCGATCATCGTCCTTTTATGCCTACAACCTTCTCCAATTTAAGTCCTCAATCCATTCCCTCACTACAAGATCTAGACCCTCTGACCTATACATCCCTTCTCGTAGATCTTCCTCATTTCAAAACTCCTTTACAGCCCGCTCTGTCAACTTTTGGAATTCCCACCCGATCAAAATTCGACATGCCCTTTCCCTATACATATTCAAAGACCTCCTATTCCAATTCGGGTTCCAAAAACAGTCAGATACCAGCTAACTATTAATACTATATATGTATTGTGTAGCAATCATATAATCATAATACTTGGTAAGAGATAGTACATGAATTTCCTACTATCGACGTAGGAATTTCAATACATACATTTTTTTTATTATATTCAAGTAAAGATTTTTTTTTATGAAATGAACTCATTCTATCTCTTTTTCGTTCTTCATTTCTCAAAGTGTATGTTTATGTTGTTCAACCCTTACATATAGTTTTGTTCATAGTTCAAGTGATTTGATCATAGTTTTAATTGTTTTGTTCATAATTTTAAATGCTCTGTACATAGTTTTATCTGTATCCGTATATAGCTTGTGCATCTAAGGTTTTCTTTACTTTTTATTTTATTTTATCAATTTTATTTATTGTTTCCAACGTTTAGGCCAGTAATATTCTATTATTTTCTACATTACTGTTATTCTAAAGGGACTTAGTCCCAGAATAAAGTTTTTTTTCTATCTATCTATCTTCTATATGATACATAAGTAGTTTAAGAAATGGAAGTTATAGCATAACTATGACTAATAATACATTTTACACTTCGACACGAAACCTGCCGTCTACTTTTTATATACAATCACCTCAAACCACAACCGGATAAATTAATCTACTTATTTTTGACAATTGATAGATCTGGGAGCCAATTTTAAGATAAACCGTGAAACGTTACATTTCCGATTGAGACTGTTATGTTTTATATTCGTTTGTCCAGGTGGAAACCTAGGTATCAGATTTGTTCAACAGGTATAAGTGGGGTATTGTTAAAGGATACTGTAAGACTGAAAGTCACAGGTTTACGACGAAGAGGAAACATAATTTGATGGGATTTATTGGAATTTATTTTAATCTTATCTCCAGTATTGACATCATGTTTCAAGACTTGTGATTGAAGAGTTTGGGATGCAATAGATGGAACGTTATTAACTTAATAATTGGTAAACGGTTGACTGTCGTGGATAATGAAGAGAAGAATAGTTGAGGTGAACAGTCAAAAAAGAAGGCAAAAATAAATGATAATATTTATGTTTACATATGCCGACGTTTCGACCTGAAGTTCAGGCCATCATTAGGCCTAAGAAAAGAACCAGATAACAAGGTATGAGAAATATAAAAATTACAGTAAAATGAAGTTGTTAGAATAACATAGAATAACATAGAATGACATTAGTAAGAACAAGAGACAAAAATTATAATAACAAGTACAAAGTGTGGAGTGATGAAGTAAACATAGTCAAAAAAGGTGAAGTTATATAAGAAAAATATGAAGTTATATAAGAAATGTACATATTGATAGACTTTACAACATCACAATTTTCTATCTAAATATTCTATTCACTATATCTTAATTTTACTATTTATTTCCATTTCTTATATAACTTCATATTTTTCTGTTTTACATTATATTCTAAGATTCCCTTACAATACTTATGTCACCTTTTTGGACTATGTTTACTTAATCACTCCACACTTTGTACTTGTTATTACAATTTTTGTCTCTTGTTCTTACTAATGTCATTATTCTAACAACTTCATTTTACTGTAATTTTTATATTTCTCATACCTTGTTATCTGGTTCTTTTCTTACGCCTGATGATGGCCTGAACTTCAGGTCGAAACGTCGGCATATGTAAACATAAATATTATCATTTATTTTTGCCTTCTTTTTTGACTGTTCACCTCAACTATTCTTCTTTTCGTTATTAACTTAAATAATACAAGTGTCATCAGCATAGGTGTTGATTTCATGCGAAAATGAATGCTACTTAATTTGAGGTTAAATGTTAATTAAATTAAATTAAAAATAGTTAAATGTAACATAATTGAATTATAATAGCAAAATTAACGTGCGATAAATAATAAAATAAATAAAAAATGAATTTTTCTCCTATTTCATATACAATCAGAAAACAACAAAAGAATAATTATTATACTCTAGGTTGAATAAGTAATACTGTTGCAATAAAATCAAATAGAATTATTTCCTACAATGCGCCAGCCGGCTGCGGTTACTGGTAGTCGAACACGTTCGGGAAGACTCAAGGCGCAGCCGCTAAGTCATACAGATTGGACTTTTAACGTGCGAGAAAACTTATTCGATTACTCAAGAAAAAAAAAAGACAATTAGATAAGGTTTAAGATTAGAATGAAAATATCAAATATAAATGTTATGAGAATATGTCCTTTAACAAGAATAGTTATGCATCTAGGAAAAACTAAAAAAACATATGTTATGTTTGACGTTAAAAGTCCAATCTGTATGACTTAGCGGCTGCGCCTTGAGTCCTTCCGAACGTGTTCGGCTACCAGTAACCGCAGCCGGCTGGCGCATTGTAGGAAATAATTCTATTTGATTTTATTGCAACAGTATTACTTATTCAACCTAGAGTATAATAATTATTCTTTTGTTGTTTTCTGATTGTATATGAAATAGGAGAAAAATTCATTTTTTATTTATTTTATTATTTATCGCACGTTAATTTTGCTATTATAATTCAATTATGTTACATTTAACTCTTTTTAATTTCAATGATTATTCGGCGTGATCCCATTTCTTTTTAAAAATAATTTTAGCTTAAATTGCAGTATCAACTATATCTTTATTACGTTCCTTTGAAGGTACAATAGCGTTCATAGAAATTGTGTCATCCAGTAAAAATTTTATTTTATTTACAAGATTGCTACTGCAAGATCTCCGAATATTTATTTTGTAGTTGCAAAGGATATTCTGCCAGTTCCTTTCTTTTGCTCTATGGTACATTTTATTATTTTTTTTTCCTTTCAAATATATGACTACTGTTGATTGGTGGTACCCTATCCTCGTTACTGATTTCCGTGAAAATGGCTTTACTTTATACAACTTTAATGTTGTTTGACGAGTACAGTTTTCGATACAGGTCGTAATTAGAGCTTTTATATTGGTATTATTTAAAACTGAACTGAGAAACATTCTTAAAGTTGTCTTGAAACCTTTATACCTATGAGTAAAGAAAAACAAAAGTTTTCAATGAAATCAACGTTATAAGCATGAGAATCAAAAGAAATAGGTGATGCGGTTTTATGACCGCGAATGTATATACAATTTTTCGAGCAAACAATTCGACCGATTTTAAATTTCGATGGCACATAATATTCGTGGAAGTATTTTGAAACAATTTTAACTCAGAATAAGGTTTAACTATTGTATTGCATTTCATTTGTATAGTGTTTCTTTTAGAAGGTACATGACTATTTTTTTGAGCATACGGCTCAAACGATTTTTAATTTCAAATTTAAATAGTGCACATGATTTATATTTATTACAATTATAGCTAGTACTTCATATTTTCTAGGGTGCTTGTTTTAAAGATGTTGTTATTAGTTGGTGAAATAATGCTTGTGGTTTATGCACCATTTTGATGTCGAACCGAGTTTACAGGAGCATTCACCATAAATATCGTACCATACATACATTGAGCTATCTCAGATACCATAATCCAAGGATATGAGGATATTTCTTAACGCATGAGGAAGATTTCTATTAAAATCTAGAGAGAATCACTTTATTATCATAAAATAAAATAAAATGGTGCTGCCCAATTACATTGGGTTGCTAACAACACAGCATACTTATTAATCACTACAGACATTATTTAAAATTATTATACAATTATACAATACAAATAAAAGGTTCGTATATAATTTACATTACTGAAAACGTAAAGACACTGATACTCTCTTCATAAATCTTACCTATAGGTCCATTAAAAAAAAAAAAATACCCTCAACACACATATCTATATATTTCTATATTATCTAGAAAGATGTAAAGTAAGAAATTTCAATTAAAAAATACTCATTGTTTTTTTTTTATCAAATTATTTAATCTAGCAAACTCATCCGAATTTTTAACTCAAGCATTCGAGTCATTTTCAGAAAAAAAAAATTGAAAACACTTTTGAAATATAGGACAAAGAATAAGATATAAGATATAATTTATACAGTGTACATATTTATATAAATTTTTCTATGTTTTTAATGTTATTTATTTTTTTTTATAGTTCTGATGATGATCAATATCCTTGGGTCAAAACATCGGCAACTAGTATAAAGAAATATTCATCATCTGGAGTAACCTGGAGTCATGGTAACTATGGTGAAAAGGATAATTTAAAAAAATAATAAAATTTATCACTAAATTGTTTTTCTACATTATTGCTTAATGTTGTT